ATATATATATATATATATATATATATATATATATATATATATATATACATACAGACCATTTCCAAAAATTAGAATATCATGGAAAATATGTTTAACTTCCATAATTTCATTCAAAAAGTTAATCTTTAATAGATGCCAGATTCAGGGCCCACAATTCAAACAATTTCAAGTATTTATTTGTTTATTGTTAACATAATAATAATAATAATAATGAATTTAAATTGTAGCACGCTTTTCATTAACAAAAATCTCAAAGTGCTACAAAGTGCAACTAAAATCAATGATAAAAGCAACTAAAATCAGTGATAAAAATCAACTTAAATCAGTGATAAAAATCAACTTAAATCAGTGATAAAAATCAACTCAAATCAGTGATTAAATCAACTAAAATCAGTGATTAAATCAATGATAAAATCAACTAAATGAGTGATGAAATCATGTGGAGGCAGAATAGGCTTGCCTAAAAAGAAAAGTCTTTAAGCCTTTTTTAAAGTCAACCAATGATAGTGGAGCTCTCAGATATTCAGTGAGGGACTTCCAGAGGCGGGGGGCAGCCACACAGAATGCCCTATCTCCCATGGTCCTTAATTTAGTTTGTGGAAGGAGAAGGAGATGACTGTTCTGTGATCGTAGGGACTGGGTGGATGAATATGGAGCAAGAATACATAATTTGGGCGTCTAGCTCATGAAACCCACGAAAACAGGAATTCAAAAAAAATTAGAACACTGTGAAGAAAGCAGACCAAATTTTGCAGCATGACTGTTTTAAACTGAGTGTGACACACTAATCATCTACTAAACTCAAAGCACCTGCACAGGTTTCCCCAGGTGTCATTCAATTGCTTCAGTTTGGTTCAACTGTCTCAGTTCGGTTCAATATGGAGACGACTGCAGACACAACAACTGGCCAGAAGACCATCATTGATACCCTCCATAGGATGGGTAGGCCACAAAAGTTCATATGTAAGGAGGAGGCTGGCTGTTCACAGAGTGCTGTGTCCAAGCATATCAATGGAAAGTCTAGTGGAAGGGCAAAATGTGGCAGGAGAAGATGCACCAGCAAAAGACATGACCGTGGGCTTCAGTGGATTATCAAACAAAGAAGATTCCAGAATCTGGCTGAGATCCAGAAAGAGTGGAATGAGGCGGGAGTCACAGCTTCAAAAACCATCACATTCAGATGCATCCGGGAGATGGGCTACAACTGTCAAGTTCCTCGGTCCTCTTTTCTGATAAAAGTAAAGTGTGCCTTTCATTCAGAAATCAAGGTCCAAGGGTTTTGGAGGAAGAAGGGTGAGGAACAGAACCCATACTGCTTGAGGTCCAGTGTGAAATATCCACAGTCATGATTTGGGGTGCAATGTCCGGTGCAAGTGTTGGTAAACTCTGCTTTCTTAAATCCAAGGTCATTGCAACAGTCTACCAGAATGTTTTTGAGGACTTCATGATTCCTTCTACTGAGGATCTGTATGGAGATGCAGATTTCATCTTCCAGCAGGACCTGGCCCCTGCCCATGCTGCCAGAAGCACCAAAACATGGTTTGATGCCCATGCCACAGTGCTTGACTGGCCAGCCAACTCGCTGGACCTAAGAGAATCTATGGAGTATTCTCAAGAGGAAAATGAGGGACACAAGGCCCAACAACAAAGAAGAGCTGACAGCAAGCATCAAAGAAATCTGGGCTTCCATAACTCCCAGTCAATGCCACAGGCTGATTGTCTCAATGCCACGTTGCATTGAGGCAGTGATTAAGGCAAAGGGATTCCCAACAAGTATTGAAGATTGACACATCGTTTTGAAAGTACCATATTTTGACTGATTTGTTGTGATCCTAATTTCTTTCTATTTTTTTCTGCAAAAACTGAGAAGTGTCTTCACAGTATTTCTAATTTTTTGAATTCCTGTTTTCGTGGGTTTCATGAGCTGGAAGCCCAAATTATGTAAAAATAAACAAATAAATATTTGAAATTGTTTAAATTGTGGGCCCTGAATCTATCATCTATTAAAGATTAACTTTTTGAATGGAATTATGGAAGTTAAACAACTTTTCCATGATATTCTAATTTTTTGGAAAGGGTCTGTATATAAGGATATTGGGGCATGATGGAGATTGGGCCACTTTTGGCCCTCGGGCCTTAAGTTGCCCACATCTGATTTAGTAGCTTTTAGAGTCACTTTTAACAGTGATAATTGTAATTGTCTTTAGTTTGCTCCAAACATGTCTAACTTGGTGTCGTCTGTTCAAGAACGTCGTTTCAAAAGTCTTTTGGTTCATTCAGATTCAACTTTGCAAACTTGAGTCACTTATTCATTAACAATTTTTATTTTATGAGAAATAACGAAAATATTTGGTGTGATGGTGAGGCATTAATGAGCATTAATAAGCTCTACTTCAGCCTTTTCAGGCTCCGCATGATGTATTTACCGTATCGTTGTTTTTGAGGTTTTATGTTAGCTTTTTGTTCTCATTAGTCTTCATTGTTGTATTTTATTAATTTTTTTCTTATGTATTTTATGTATAGTGACAAAAGATAAAGATTTGTAATGTCATATAGATTTTTGTGTGTGCGTGTTTGGAAAGAAAAGCAAAGGGTAAGTGTACAATACCACGTTTTAAGCAGTTATAAACTATAACATGAAGAATGTGAAGATGTCAACACATTTTGAGGATTGCCAAAAAATAGATCTGTTTCCCTTCCCTCAGGCCAACGTTTTGACTGATTCCTGGTTTGTATTTACACTTTTAAATCAAAGTTGATGGAAAAAAGACCCTTAGTTACTGCTAAGGGTGTCAGAGCATAAGCATTTAATTTATGCTGATTTAATTCAGGTATTTAACATTAAAATGTATTTAATAGAGAATTGTAGAAAATGGGATATAAAAAGGAATACTGACTGAAACGCTGAACCTAACTTCCAATTTTGATATGTATGCATACATTATCATCAGCTGTGTTTTAAACTATCTTCTGGTTTTCTTCCATTTACCCTGTTTGGACTGGTTGCCATAATAGATTTATTTAGCAGGAGGTCAGGGAACAGTTTTAGGGCTACAATAAACAGCCAAGTGTGATGCAAATGATACTTTGAGGCACAGTGTAGGAGGAAGACGAAAACAAGCGAGTCACAGAGGATAACCAGGACAGGAGACCTCCTTTTATTATCTGTGTGTGCACAAAATTTGAAGCTGCTGAGAAAACACAAAAAAAACTTGACTAGTGAATTACAAATGTTTCTTGTGTGTGTCGTCCTTCAGCCTGCTAACATTCTGTTGGATGAGCACGGCCAAGTTCGGATCTCAGACCTCGGCCTGGCCTGCGATTTCTCCAAAAAGAAGCCCCACGCCAGCGTGTAAGTAACTTTTGTGTTAAATACACGTGCAGAGAGAAAGAAGTAGGTTTAGACTTTTCATCTGCTGGTCAATTATTTTAATGTGTTTCAACAAATTAGCAGGACAAGCAAAGAAAGAGTTCATTTAATTTCAGTGTGATTGCATGTGTTCCACTCAGCAGACAACATGGTAAAATAAATAGATCGTCACGATAGGTGGCAACATAAACTTGTAAAAATTGAAGGGACTTGAATATTTTCGGGACTTGAATATTTTCTGATTACTACAAAAGAAGTCTGAGTAGAGCAGAAATGTAGCAGAAACTAGCAGAAGCAGCCGAAATAGGAATCTTAAATTAGCGACAACAAAAAAAGTAGCTGAAAGAGCTATTAAAAAAGATTTTAGCAGAAAGAAGCTGAGAGGAGCATAAAATGCTAAAATTAGCACAAGCAGCTGAACTGCGTTGAATCAGAACCAAAGCAGAAATGAGCAGTAAAAAGATTGCAAACAGCACAAAGAGGGAACAAAGCCAAGCCATTGGTTCCGTTATGTGGATGACACCTGGATCAAAATCCAAGCCAAGGAAATAGAAGCGTTCACCAGACACATCAACTCGGTCGTTAACAACATCAAGTTCACCAGAGAGGATGCAAACGACAACAAGCTGCCTTTTTTGGACTGTTTGGTTCAGATGGAGAGAGAGGACAGCCTCAACATTGAAGTGTACAGGAAACCAACCCACACAGACCAGTATCTTCTGTTTGACTCCCACCATCCACTGGAACACAAACTCTCTGTCATCAGAACTTTACAACATCGGGCCGAATGCGTCCCCACGAAGACAGAAGGGAAGGAAAAGGAACTGAAACACGTTCAAGAAGCTCTTCAAACATGTGGATATCCTAACTGGGCTTTTGTCAAGTCAGCGAGGAAATCTACAAAACACACCAATAAACAGAAGAAGGAGAACAACAGACGTAAAAACATTGTCATCCCTTATGTTGCTGGAGTATCAGAGAAATTCAGAAGGATCTTCAACAAACACAAGATCCCAGTACATTTCAAACCCAGCAGGACTCTCAGACAGAGGCTGGTCCACCCTAAGGACAAAACACCCATACACAAACAGAGTGGTGTAGTGTATGCGGTCCAGTGCAGCGAGGACTGTCCAGACCTCTACATTGGAGAAACTAAACAGCCTCTTCACAGACGCATGACTCAACACAGGAGAGCCACCTCCTCTGGACAAAATTCCGCAGTTCACCTCCACCTCACAGATAAGGGACACTCTTTTGAGGACCAAAATGTGCACATTTTGGACCGAGAACACAGATGGTTTGAGAGGGGGGTGAAGGAAGCAATTTATGTAAAAAGAGAAAAGCCGTCTCTTAACAGCGGAGGAGGCCTCAGATTTCCACTTTCAAAAACCTATAATGCAACTTTAAAACAGATTCCCAGCCGGTTTTCACACCTGATGGGAACAGAGGGGCCTCGACTGTGCATTAGAGGAACAAAGACCTACTGTTTAGGTTTTTAGGTGTGAACTGCCAATCTACATATATGTGTGTGTGTGTGTGTCTTATCTCACTCAGCCTTATAACCTGTATCTCTCACTCTCTGCTCTTTGAGTTGAGAAAGCTCCTCGGATGAGGAGCGAAACGTCTTCTGTTACAAATAAAGTCCAGTTGTTTTTGTATTGAACGCTTTTTGAATTCATCATGTCCTGTATGACTGAGAATCTTCACCAGCAAACAGCACAAAGGGTTTGAAAGATCTGAAGAGCTCCATTTATTTTCAAAAAGAAAGACAAAATAACTAAATGTTTCAAAAAGTTAAAAACGCACAAATAGCAAAAGTTGTAGCAGGAATGTCCTGAACGAGCTGAACCTTTTGATACATGAGTTGTTGAGATAGTGGAATGAGTTATGTGCCAAAAAATGTATGGGGGTGGATCTCCACAGAGTGGTAGCTTTATAAACATTCACTCTGTTAATAAAGTTATATCTATCAAGAGTTCAACAGATGAATCTGTGGTTTCTGACATCAGATCTCTGCTAAACAAAAAGCCTTAGTAGACTTTAAAAATATGATTTGAATATTTGTAAACTGAGCAAAAACAAATCATTTTCTAAACAACAATATACAAACCGGATTCCAAAAAAGTTGGGACACTAAACAAATTGTGATTAAAAACTGAATGCAATGATGTGGAGGTGCCAACATCTAATATTTTATTCAGAATAGAACACAAATCACCGATCAAAAGGTTAAACTGAGAGAATGTATCATTTTAAGGGAAAAATCTGTTGTTTCCTAATTTCATGGCGTCAACAAATCCCAAAAAAGTTGGGACAAGTCCATTTTTACCACTGTGTGGCATCCCCCCTTCTTCTTACAACACTCAACAGACGTCTGGGGACAGAGGAGACCAGTTTCTCAAGTTTAGAAATAGGAATACTCTCCCATTCATGTCTAGTACAGGCCTCTAACTTTTCAATCGTCTTGGGCCTTCTTTGTTCTCACCTTCCTCTTTATGATGCGCCAAATGTTCTCTATAGGCGAAAGATCTGGACTGCAGGCTGGCCATTTCAGTACACGGATCCTTCTCCTACGTAGCCATGATGTTGTGATTGCTGCAGAATGTGGTCTGGCATTATCGTGTTGAAAAATGCAGGGTCTTCCCTGAAAGAGATGACATCTAGATGGGAGCATATGTTGTTCTAGAACCTGAACATAGTTCTCTGCATTAATGGTGCCTTTCCAGACATGCAAGATGCCCATGCCACAAGCGCTCATGCAACCACATACCATCAGTGATGCAGGCTTCTGAACGGAGCGTTGATAACAACTTGGGCTATCCTTGTCCTCTCTGGTCCGGATGACATGGCGTCCCAGTGTTCCATAAAGAACTTCAAATTGTGACTCATCTGACCACAGAACATTCCATTTTGCCACCTCCATTTTAAATGACCCCTGGCCCAGTGCAAACGTCTGAGCTTGTGGAGCTTGCTTAGAAATGGCTTTCTCTTTGCACTGTAGAGTTTCAGCTGGCAACGGCGGATGGCACGGTGGATTGTGTTCACTGGCAATGTTTTCTGGAAGTATTCCTGAGCCCATTCTGTTATTTCCTTGACAGTGGCATTCCTGTTTGAGGTGCAGTGACGTTTAAGGGCCCGGAGATCACGAGCATCCAGTAGAGTTTTACGGCCTTGACCCTTACGCACAGCGATTGTTCCAGATTCTCTGAATCTTTTGATGATGTTATGCACGATTGGTAATGATAACTTTAAAGTCTTTACTATTTTACGCTGGGTAACACCATTCTGGTATCGCTGCACTATCTTTCTGCGCAAAAATGGTGGAATTGGTGATCCTCTTACCATCTTGGCTTCTGAGAGACACTGACACTCTTAGAAGCTCTTTTTATACCCAATCATGTTGTCAATTGACCTAATTAGTGTTAATTGGTCTTCCAGCTGTTCGTTATATGCTCAATGTTCTTTTTCCAGCCACTTATTGCTACTTGTCCCAACATTTTTGGCATTTGTTGACACTGAAATTTTGAATCAACATATTTTTCCTTTAAAATGTTACATTTACTCAGATTAAACTTTTGATCTGTCATCTATGTTATATTACAAATAAAATATTGACATTTGCCATCTCCACATCATTGCATTCAGTTTTTATTCACAATTTGTTTAGTGTCCCAACTTTTTTGGAATCCGGTTTGTACATTAAGTAAAGACAATTTATAGTTTTTGTTACTGAGCAGGTTACAGACAGGAGTTGACTTATGCTGGTTTCCTGCAGCTGATCTGTCATTAGCAACTTTTACTCCCAAGGAGAAACCTTTATTTCTATGTCCTCTTATCTCAGTGTAAATCATGTTTGTTTTTCCTTGTGATTTTGTGCCTCCACTGTGAAATGTGTGTTTGACTAAGGCTGTTTTCTGTTTCTAACAGCGGCACCCATGGCTACATGGCTCCAGAGGTCCTTCAGAAGGGGACGGCGTACGACAGCAGTGCAGACTGGTTCTCTTTAGGCTGCATGCTTTTCAAACTCCTCAGAGGGTAACCACTCCAACTTGATGTCCTTTCCTCCTCCTCCTCACTCTTCAGCTCTCACATCTCATTCTTACTTCCTGTTTTCTGCCTCTCTGAGTGAAGCGGTTTTGAATCCCTCTCTCCCCCTTCGCTCAGAGCATCTCTGGCCTGCACGCTCTCTGTTTGGTTCATGTTTGATGTTGACTGTGTGTACATTTGGGTTTGAAGTGAAGTGTGTAAATGCCAAAGGCCTGGACCCAGTATGTCAGAATCCAGGTAAAGGGTGTGTGTGCGTGCGTGCGTGCGTGCGTGCATGAGTGAGTGTGAAGAGTCTTTCCATTGATGTTTGAATGTTTTGTGTTTTGAAGTAGAATAGTCTGTGAGAGAGAGGCTGGCTGCTTGTTTCTAATTTTTTAAAACTATAAATGACTTGTAGTTAATAGAATTGTTCTTTATTAGAACTTTGTGCCACACCATTATTAACATTCAGGCTAAAACCAAAATTGGAGCATTTACCGTACTTTTTGCTGTATAATCACAACTTTTTGCATAAATTACCTACCTATATACCTATACTTATACAGCAAAGCGACTTATTTATGTTTTTTTTTTTTCCATATTTATAACCCAATTTCTGGCTGAGATCTGACAATTTCATTCATTCTGACATGGAAAATATTGAACACTAACATTTTCAGCTGCTAGAGGGTCCTCGACTAATATAGTAAGCCAAGTGTCTCATTAATAGGTAAAAAGTGGTTATTAATGAGACACTTGGCTTGCCATACCAATCCATCTTCATCTCGCTCCAGAATTCCTGGAGCAAACATCAAATCAGCTGCATTTCACCGCGCCGCCCAGGAGAGATGCAGCTGATTTGACCAATATAGTCAAGTCAAGTCATATTTATTTATAGAGCACAATTTAAAACAGATAGACTGTTATCAAAGTGCTTAACACTAATGGTAACACTAAGAAATAAAAAGCAGTAAGAATATACCTTAAAAAATTAAAACAACAGCATTAAAATGAAGACATGGAACAAGATATACTAAATCAACTCACACAGTATGAAACGCCAGAGAGAACAGATATGTTTTTAGCAGGGATTTGAACACAGGAAGGGAGGTGGCATGCCTAATGTTGGGGGGTAGGTTGTTCCACAGTTTGGGACCCATGACTGAAAACGCCCGATCTCCTCGGAGCTTCAGTCTTGTTTTTGGAACAGCCAAAAGCAGCTGATCAGATTATCTCAGAGCCCGAGAGGGAACATATGGTTCCAGTAGCTCAGAGAGGTAGATGGGTGCGAGGCCATTTAGGCACTTATAGGTCAGGAGGAGAATTTTGAAATCAATCCTAGTTCTCACAGGAAGCCAGTGTAGGGAGGACAGAACTGGTGTGATGTGCTCATACCTCGGTGTACCGGTTAAAAGCCGAGCTGCAGCATTCTGGACAAGCTGTAGCCGTGAGATAGAGGCCTGGCTGACCCCAGCATACAGTGAATTACAATAGTCCAGGCGGGTTGTGATGAATGCATGGACTAGTGTCTCAAGGTCGGGTCTAGACAGCACTGGCTTGAGCTTTGCTACCTGCTGCAGTTGGAAGAAGCTTCTCTGCAGAACCGAACTGATCTGTTTGTCGAACTTAAAATCCGAGTCAAAAACCACTCCAAGGTTTTAGCAGAGTGCCTCAGATAAGGCTGAAGGGAGTCCAGGTTCACAGGATAAGAGGCGGCAGCTGAGCTAGGGCTAAAGACAATGACTTCAGTCTTCTGGTCGTTAAAACTTAGAAAATTTGAAGCCATCCATGTCTTAATGTCGTCCAGACATTTGAGGAGAGGGTGGACGGAACAAGCACTGGCTGGTTTCAGTGGCAGGTAGATCTGACAGTCATCGGCGTAGCAAGGGAATGGAATACCATGTTTTCTTAGGATTGACCCCAGCGGAAGCAGATAGAGCGAAAATAGAAGGGGTCCGAGAATCGAGCCCTGCGGGACACCGCAGGAAAGAGGCATTGAAGTGGATAGATTTTTACCCACCTTCACACAAAAACTCCTGTCAGAGAGGTATGAGCAGAACCAGTCTAATGCAGCACCTGTAATCCCAACCCAGTGTTCAAGCCGAGAGATGAGGATACTGTGGTCAACAGTATCGAAAGCGGCAGTAAGATCGAGGAGTACAAGATCCACAAAATGACCAGAATCATTTGCTGTTAAAATGTCATTACAAACCCTAACCAAAGCTGTTTCGGTGCTGTGGAGCTGCTTGAAACCAGACTGAAAGACCTCAAAGATTTTGTTCTCAGTTAAAAACTGATTTAACTGAGTAAAAACTACTTTTTCCAGGATTTTGGACAGAAAGGGGAGTTTTGAGATTGGTCTGTAATTTGAGCAGGCTGAAGGGTCAAGACCAGGTTTCTTAATTAACGGTGTGACTACTGCATGTTTGAACGCCTCTGGGACCACGCTTGTAGCAATACTACTGTTTAGTATAGTTAGAACAGCAGGCCCAATCGCTGGTAGAACCTGTTTGAACAATGCTGCTGGGATGGGGTCCAATGGTGATCCTGATGGCTTCATGTGACCAGCAACTTTGTCCAACAATGGGAGTGTGATTGGTTTGAATTGCCTGAAAGTAGCAGAACACGAAACAAAAGCTGATGGGTCGACTAAGGAGCGGGGGATGGAGGCCCTGATCAACTCCACTTTGTTAACAAAGAATTTAGTGAAGTCATTGCAGGTGTCAACAGAGGCCTCTATACAGTATATATAGTACATACAATATAGTGCATTTATTAAGGAAAAGTTAGACAGAGACACACCTTTACTATAATTTCGAGCAAACAAATAATTGTTTTTGATTCAATTCAGTTTATTTATATAATCTTGTTAAATTCTTGTTAAAGTACTCTCGTGCACTCTCCCGCAGCCGCTATTTGGCAGCCAATCAATTTTTGGCACAACACCGGCCCACATTTCCGGGCTGTCCGCGGTGACGTATAACAATCACAACACGTCAGCGGTGACGCATAATAGATGTGACTTATACGGTGGAAAGTAAGGTACTTTAAATATCAGACAAGAAAACTGAGATAACCTAATCATTTCAAATCAAAGGTATAAACACACCATTTGATTATTAATTACTTTTGAATCTTTGACCCCTGTTCAAAATTAAATTCAAGCTTCACAACATAGCATTAAATCATTTTCATAACTTTGTCAGATTCAGGCTCATTGCTTGGTGCATAAAGGTTTTCTGTTTTTTGTTCTGTTTGCAGTCTGTAGCTCTGACTTTGATTTATGAGCATCCCCTCAGACTCGCTGTGTTTTGGTGCCTTTTGGCTTAGACTTGCAACAGATGAACGTTGGCTGCCAATCAACTTCTTGTCTCACATTTTATTTTCATGTTTACTGTTTCCTCTCTGTTATTCAACATTTCAGCGCATGATCAAAGTTTATTGGCAACTAGAACAGGATAAATTAGACAGAGGCAGAAAACTTGGAAAAAACAGCTGAATTGTTGTTTGGGTTTCTAGGACACGTGATGATGGAAATGTGCAAAGTAGGTTGCCACATCATTTCTGAAAAGCTTTGTTTTTCTCACCATAAACGTGTGGATGGGAGGCGCAAACGCAGCAGAAAATATCTGTTCTAAAAATATTCAGAGTAGTGGGGCAGGGCCTAATATAAACTCAAATAGGTTTCCTTAAAAAAAATCCAAATTTTGTGTTTTGCATATTTCCTGCATCTCTGTCCAGATTCCCAGTCCCTGCTGATGGAAAAAACAGCCCACAACATAACGCTGCCACCAACACACAACACTGTAGGGATGGTGTTCGAGACATGACGAGCTTTGTCCAAGATAAGGCTCTATCCATGGTTGTAAAAATTAAATATATTTATTTACTACTTACTGTACGTTGTTTGGACATGCTGATGCTCAGCTCTGTGCAGCCTGTAGTGGTCCTACAGACAGGTATCTGTCCAGCTTCATCAGTGGTGCCTTATCCTCCTGGACTTTTCTCTGATTAATACTCTTCTTGATCCTCTATTGCCAACTTTGCTGTGGTGGGATGATCTTTTCATTTCATAATAATGGATTTAATGGAGCTCTAGTCAAAGTTTGCAAAAGTTTTTCGACCAAAGTTTTGTGTGTGAGCTGTGTGGACATGTTATTTCCTTCTTAGTGGAAGCCTTTAATACAAACCGGATTCCAAGAAAGTTGGGACACTAAACAAATTGTGAATAAAAACTGAATGCAATGATGTGGAGGTGCCAACATCTAATATTTTATTCAGAATAGAACACAAGTCACAGATCAAAAGTTAAAACTTGAGAGAATGTATCATTTTAAGGGAAAAAATCTGTTGTTTCCAAATTTCATGGCGTCAACAAATCCCAAAAAAGTTGGGACAAGTCCATTTTTACCACTGTGTGGCATCCCCCCTTCTTCTTACAACACTCAACAGACGTCTGGGGACAGAGGAGACCAGTTTCTCAAGTTTAGAAATAGGAATGCTCTCCCATTCATGTCTAATACAGGCCTCTAACTGTTCAATCGTCTTGGGCCTTCTTTGTCGCACCTTCCTCTTTATGATGTGCCAAATGTTCTCTATAGGTGAAAGATCTGGACTGCAGGCTGGCCATTTCAGTACACGGATCCTTCTCCTACGTAGCCATGATGTTGTGATTTCTGCAGAATGTGGTCTGGCATTATCGTGTTGAAAAATGCAGGGTCTTCCCTGAAAGAGATGACATCTAGATGGGAGCACTTGTTGTTCTAGAACCTGAACATAGTTCTCTGCATTAATGGTGCCTTTCCAGACATGCAAGCTGCCCATGCCACAAGCGCTCATGCAACCACATACCATCAGTGATGCAGGCTTCTGAACGGAGCGTTGATAACAACTTGGGCTATCCTTGTCCTCTCTGGTCCGGATGACATGGCGTCCCAGTGTTCCATAAAGAACTTCAAATTGTGACTCATCTGACCACAGAACATTCCATTTTGCCACCTCCATTTTAA